ATTTGCTCAGTTCTTATTTGGGATCATGTTTTAAGTAAAATGAATGTTATAAGCAAAGTGATGCAGTAGCAAAAATTTAATGTACTAATGACCATGAAAGCATCAAAGGAATTGAGAAGTTCTTTGAAGAAAAAATGCAGTAATATTTATTTTGAAAAATACGTTATTTAGGTGAAACAAATCGCAGAGTGTTCTGACACTGAAACCAACTTTACAAATGTAGAAAATACTAGAAAAAGGAGGAAGAACACTCATTTTGATTACAGGTTGCACAATTTATGACCCAACATTAAATTTCAAAATTAATTATTTTTCTCATATTAAATACAATAATAACCTTAAAAGGAAGTTTTATAATATTATAAAGCTAAGTAATAGTTCTTATAATTTTAAGTCATATATAATTTGAAGATTATAATAAGCATTAATTTCTGCAACTAAGTTAAGTTTACAGTTGAAATTGGTGGATAAACATGGCAAGGAATGTTAAAGTAATAGAATGTTGACATGAAGAACTAATTAACGTGGGTGATTTTCTTCTTTTTCTTTTTTTTTGAGACTGAGTCTCACTCTGTTGCCCAGACTAAAGGGCAGTGGCACCATCTCGGCTCACTGCAACCTCTGCCTCCTGGGTTCAAGCAATTCTCCTGCCTTCAAGCAACTCTCCTGCCTCAGCCTCCTGAGTAGCTGGGATTACAGGCATGTGCCACCACACCTGGCTAATTTTTTGAATTTTTAGCAGAGGCGGGGTTTCACCATGTTGGCCAGGCTGTCCTCAAACTCCTGACCTCAGGTGATCCACCTGCTTCAGCCTCCAAAAGTGCTGGGATTACAGGCATGAGCCACTGTGCCCAGCCGTGATTTTCCAATGCCTATGAACCCTGTTGAAGAATTGCAATGTATTTGCAGCGATAACTTACCAGGCACATTTCTCAGCATTTTTGTTTTGCTTTGTTTTTAAATTTTGAATAAAATTGGACTTTACTTAATAATAATATATCATCATTGATTCATTCATTGTACACAAATGTGCCATGTTACTGTAAGATGTAAATGGCAGAAAAGTTGGAAATGAGGGATACTCGAAGCTGTACCGGCTTCATGACTTTTCTGTAAATCTAAAACTATTCTTGCATAGAACATTTATTGGAAAGAAAAAAATAAAGAAATAGGCATGAATCCGTATCATTCTAGCACAAAATTTCCACTGTTTAAACTTTTTGGTCTATCTTCTTTCCTTTTCATTGTTTTAAATGCCTCTATGAGCTCAACCCATATATTTGCAATTGGGAAATGATTCTACATACAATTTTGTTTCATCATTTTGCATGTGATACTATTTTGTAAAGATTTTCTTATTTTATCAATAAATTTATTTGAATATGCACATTTTATTTTAATTTATGTAGATCTACAGGCTGGGACGTGGAAATATATAAATAATATACAGTATTAAGTGAAAAAGGCAAATTGAACTTTCACGTCATACATTTCAGCAGCTCTTTTTTTTGAGACGGAGACTCCTGTTGCTCAGGCTGGAGTGCAGTGGCGTGATCACTGCTCACTGCAACCTCTGCCTCCTGGGTTCAAATGATTTTCCTGCCTCAGCCTCCCAAGTAGCAGGGACTACAGAGGACTACAGGCACGTGCCACCACGCCCACATAATTTTTTTGTATTTTTAATAGAGACAGGTTTTCACCATGTTAGTCAGGCTGCTCTCAAACTCCTGACCTCAAGTGATTTGCCCACCTCAGCCTCCCAAAGTGCTGGGATTACAGGCTTGAGCCACAACACCTGGCCAGCAATGTATGTTTTTTGAAACTCAATAATGTGCAGGCATTGCTTTCACATCCATTCCCTGCCCATGATGGCCACTGTGGCCAGCTGTCTGGGCCCTCCTTCAAGAATGAAGGCATTTCTCCCTCCACTGCTGGGCATGGTCCCCCACAGGGATTGCTCCAGCTGAAGACAGCCACCTTGCTCAAAGCCTCACTTGCTTCCCGGGACAGCCTGTTCCCTCTTGGACCACTCCAGAGGGCCCCACACTAGTTTAAGAAGCTCCATAGCGCTAACGTGGCCTCCAATAAGCATCTCATCCAGTAAGCATAGCAGTTTACCTTCACCCCCTGCACAGTCCTATGGCCTTGGCTTCCTGCCACAGGTGCTGATCTCAAGAGCATACTCTGATAAAACCCCAGGCTTGCTTGTCTCCATCTCCAAGTTGGTTTCCTAAGAAACCCAACCTGTGACATTGCCTTTCCCCTGATCTGCCCGCTCAGAGAAATGACTTTGGCTACTGCATTTCCCAGGCTCCCTGACTCCAGGAGTCTGGCCAGAATAAATCAATGGGAAACAATGACAGAAGACTGGAGGGCGGGAAGAAGAGAGAAATCAGAATTCAGCCCCCCTGTCCTCCCTGCCCCAGGTGGGACCCATGCAGTGGCCGCATCTTCCCAGGTTCCAGATGCCACAGGGAAGCCCTGGCTCCCAAGCTCTGATTTCACTCTCTTTTTCTTTTGCCCTTCCTGCTCTTTTTTTTTTTTTTTTTTTTTTTGCAATTAACAAAATATATTTTTTGCAACTCACAAAATATATTTAACCCTGCCATTTTCAATCATCTGTGGGGAGCACAGCTTCTCAAAATTAAAATTTTAAAAAAATTACTCAGTCTACAATGTCACTACAAAACCCAGTAAGCATTTCTAGAAATTGGTATCTTGGAGCGATTACACACTGGAAACGCTATACAGATTTTCAATGCAGAGATTTTTCAACCAACTCTGACTTGAAGAACCTAATTATTGTTACTGACCATTTACATTTTATGTTATTTTACTTTCATTTATTTGATGTGGATAACTTTTTTCACCAATCAATAAAAAAGTTTATTCTCATCCGGCTCTTTGCATTCTATTGGCCATGACAAACTGCATCAGCAGCTCCATATTATGATTCTTGTTAAACTTATTTTAGAAACATTTATCTAAATAACATTAATTCAGAGACAGGAAATTAATCTGTGCACATTTGTAGACATATTCTTCCTCCTGAAATCCCACTAAGAGGATAATAATGGGCTTGGGTTTGGTTTTTAAAGAAAATAATCCCATAAGGATGGAAAGGAAACAACAACATTTAGGTACTAGAAGCAGATGGAAGAGTTATACATGACCCAGTAACCCAAGGAAATTTACCAAGCCAGCAATAGAGAAAGCTGAGAAGCAACATGATAGACAGCACAAAAGCCACCAAAGGACTCAGGAATTGCAGCCCAGATACTGCTAGAAGTGAGAGATAAATAGGAAAATTGGTTGTATGTTTCAAAAAAACAAAAAAAAAAATCCCAACCCTCCTTCTGATTCTATGCAGTAGAAACTCCCCCTCTTCCATCTCAACATAAGACAGGGGTTTATTCTCTAAGCTGATAAAATGGAGGGTCTCTAAAACAGAATTGAGTGTCCAGAAAGAGAGAGGTGTGTGTTTGAATTTATGACAGAGACAGCATTGCAGTACAAGTCCACTTTTTCCCATCTGATTAGTGTGAAGTTGTATTTCACTGGAGGTTGAGCCCCTTTACAAAAGAGGAACTGACATTTGGAATTCCTCTTTTGTAAAATGCTTGTTCAAGTATTTTGCCCATTTAAAAAAAAAACAACTGGGTGGTCTTTTTCTTATTAATTATGATCATTCTTTATATATTCTAGATGGACAGAAATTCTTCTTTTTAAATGTAGTCAACTTATTGCACTTTTCTACATGACTAGAGCTCTTTTTGTCTTGTACAACAAATCATGAAGATTTTCTTTCAAACAAACTTGTGAATCTTTTATAGTTTTGTCTTTATGTATAAGCCTTAATCCACCTGGAATTTATTCTGATGGATGGCGTGAGATGGGGGCCTAATTTCATTTTGTGGCCATACGGGTGCCTAATTCTCCTGGAGCTGTTCTTTAAAAATATAGCCTTTCCCTCACTGTTCCATGGTACACCTCTGCCACAAACCAGACGCCCATATCTATGTTTCTGGGAACTTTTTCCTGACCTGTTAATCTATCCCTGTAACAGTACTGCACTGTTGTAATTACTTTTCTGCTGTAATAATAAATTTGATATTTGGATCAGGACCAGGACTCTAACCCATGCCCAGTTGTTTGTGTTGCAAGCTTCCTAAGCTAATGTGGGCATGCAGGACTCTTAGGCAAATAATGGTAGCCACCAAAATATTTGAAGTGAGTCAAGATTGCCTACAGTTAGTGCTAAACTATTATGAAAACGTGTCCCGCCAGGCATGGAGGCTCATGCCTATGATCCCAGCACTTTGGGAGGGTGAGGCAGGTGGTCAGGAGTTTGAGACCAGTCTGGCCAATATGGTGAAACCCTATCTCTATTAAAAATATAAAAACAAGCTGGGCGTGGTGGCACATGCCTTATAATCTCAGCTACTAGGGAGGCTGAGGCAGGAGAATCACTTGAACCCAGGAGGCGAAGGTTGCTGTGAGCCAAGATTGCACCATTGCTCTCCAGCTTGGGCAAACTCTGTCTCAAAAAAAAAAAAAAAAAAAAGGGAGCCGCCAGGATTTTTTCCCGCCTGTCGAGGGGTACCTTTTTTCTTTTCACGCTGTCCCCTCTTTTTTCCTTTTTCTAAAGTCTTGGGCATAAAAACGCAGATAGAGACAAAAAGCTTCCCTGTTTGTATTACTAAGGTTTATTTGGTGCTTCTCCACCATCCAGAGACGATGCGATTGTTTATAATCACGTTTGGGGGACGCGTAGGCTGTCTACCTCTGCCTCTCCCTTGTCGGCTTCAGGCCGAATGTTTTCTTGGGATTTTGAGTAAGTTTCGCCTTAGGACTTTCCTCATTTTCTCCACGGTACGCTGTCGCACAATGGCATGCTCATATAGGCCCTACAATTTGACATGCAGACCAAATTGGGTCTGTTGAAATGCTCCGAGTTTCTTGTTGCCTTTCAAACTCCTCCCCACGACACACTGCGGCACAGCGGGAAGAACGGAAAATGTTTATAGGAGGCCTTAGCTGGGACACTACAAAGAGAGATCTGAAGGACTAGTTTTCCAAATTTGGTGAAGTTGTAGACTGCACTCTGAAGTTAGATCCTATCACAGGGTGATCAAGGGGTTTTGGCTTTGTGCTGTTTAAAGAATCGGAGAGTGTAAATAAGGTTATGGATCAGAAAGAACATAAATTGAATGGGAAGGTGATTGATCCTAAAAGGGCCAAAGCCATGAAAACAAAAGAGCCGGTTAAAAAAATTTTTGTTGGTGGCCTTTCTCCAGATACACCTGAAGAGAAAATAAGGGAGTACTTTGGTGGTTTTGGTGGGGTGGAATCCATAGAGCTCCCCATGGACAACAAGACCAATAAGAGGAAAATGTTTATAGGAGGCCTTAGCTGGGACACTACAAAGAAAGATCAATAAGAGGCGTGGCTTCTGCTTTATTACCTTTAAGGAAGAAGAACCAGTGAAGAAGATAATGGAAAAGAAATACCACAATGTTGGTCTTAGTAAATGTGAAATAAAAGTAGCCATGTAGAAGGAACAGTATCAGCAACAGCAACAGTGGGGATCTGGAGGAGGATTTGTAGGAAGAGCTCGTGGAAGAGGTGGTGGCCCCAGTCAAAACTGGAACCAGGGATATAGTAACTATTGGAATCAAGGCTATGGCAACTATGGATATAACAGCCAAGGTTACGGTGGTTATGGAGGATATGACTACACTGGTTACAACAACTACTATGGATATGGAGATTATAGCGACCAGCAGACTGGTTATGGGAAGGTATCCAGGCGAGGTGATCATCAAAATAGCTACAAACCATACTAAATTATTCCATTTGCAACTTATCCCCAGCAGGTGGTGAAGCAGTATTTTCCAATTTGAAGATTCATTTGAAGGTGGCTCCTGCCACCTGCTAATAGCAGTTCAAACTAAATTTTTTGTATCAAGTCCCCGAATGGAAGTATGACGTTGGGTCCCCCTGAAGTTTAATTCTGAGTTCTCGTTAAAAGAAATTTGCTTTCATTGTTTTATTTCTTAATTGCTATGCTTCAGAATCAATTTGTGTTTTATGCCCTTCCCCCCAGTATTGTAGAGCAAGTCTTGTGTTAAAAGCCCAGTGTGACAGTGTCATGATTTAGTAGTGTCTTACTGGTTTTTTCATAAATCCTTTTGTATTTAAAAAAAAAAAAAGAAAGAAAGAAAGAAAAAAGCAAAAAAGAAAAAAAAGGAAAAGAAGAAAACATGTCTCAAATGGGACTCTTACACATGCATAAATATTGAATAAATAAATATTTATTAATAGGCAGGCACAAAGCAGAAAATAAAATCTCTTTTGTAAGTTCTATGAAACCCCAAGTTGATTACCACCCTACAGGAAAGTGTTCACTTGAGGGAGATGCAACAATTTTTCAGAAGCAGGAATCCGTTTTCCTGACAGTAGATATTAGGCAGCTGAATTTTCTACTAACACATGGGCAGTTATGACACAGGACTGCTTACGTATCAAACCCTGGATCTCATCTCTAAGTATACAGGTCACGGACCTCACCAGCTCTTATCTCTTCATGCAAGGTTAAGGTATATCTAAAATAGGCCATCTATGTTTCTTGCATTTAATTTCATTAATTACATGTAGTTCAAGTCTACCAGTCATATCCCCGTCTGGCCGCTGACCAGTCAAGCCATTTGCCACTGCCCAGTAATCTATGGACACTTGTACCTCTGACCACTTTCCACATAGGGGTACAATTGAGAATACCACTTGCACCACTGGAAGAATTTCTTTCAGCACTGTTTTTAAGGCCACTTCCAACAGTGGCAGCAATCCATTTATGGCTAGCACCAAAATTTCATGATAAACCATCTGTGAACCAGCACGGAATTTTGTCTACCTCTCCCAGCTCATGAGGAAACGCTCCTCCTTCCACCAACCCCAATCCCCAATGAAGCCCCAGGGTTGAGTTGAGGCAGAGGCATCATTGCCATACAGATTGTTTCCTTGGGATTCCAGGCCACCTGTCTACGTAATTAATACTCAGCTCCTCTGGGCCTGCTCAGGACTGACCTCGAATGCAGCATTACCTTCGGAGCTTCTGACATGGCACGGCTGAGTATCCCCAGCTCACGATGGTCAGCTCCATCACAGAAGTACTTGGTGCTCTGGAGAAGAAGTCAGTCCCTGCTAAGGCCAGGAACACATCAGGAGTTGTTTTTCAAAGGGCAAGTAGTTCTCTGCTGCAGAACGGCATGACTTCAGAATGCTAAGGACTTGGCATACAACCTCCTCATCACCACACATACATCCAACAGCATCGCTTCTGCTGGCTCATAGCACCTGAATGCAAGGGTAGCCTGGACCCACTGCAGAGCCCTCTCTTGACCTGAACCCCACATAAAACTGGTGGGCCTAGGCTGGGCACAGTGGCTCACGCCTGTAATCCCAACACTTTGGGAGGCCAAGATGGGAGGATCACTTGAACCCAGGATTTCAAGATCAGCCTGGACAACATAGTGGGGTCCCATCTCTACAAAAAGCTTTAAATTTTTTTTTATTGCATTTTAGGTTTGGGGGTACATGTGAAGAACATGCAAGATTGTTGCATAGGTACACACATGGCAGTGTGATTTGCTGCCTTCCTCCTCATCAACTATATCTGGTATTTCTCCCCATGCTATCTCTCCCCAACTCCCCAACCCCTGCTGTCCCTCCCCTATTTACCCCCAATAGGCCCCAGTGTGTGATGCTCCCCTCCCTGTGTCCATGTGTTCTCATTGTTCAACACCCAGCTATGAGTGAGAACATGTGGTGTTTGATTTTCTGTTCTTGTGTCAGTGTGCTGAGAATGATGGTTTCCAGGTTCATCCATGTCCCTACAACGGACATAAACTCATCGTTTTTGATGGCTGCATAATATTCCATGGTGTATATGTGCCACATTTTCCCTGTCCAGTCTATCATCGATGGGCATTTGGGTTGGTTCCAGGTCTTTGCTATTATAAACAGTGCTGCAATGAACATTCGTGTTCATGTGCCCTTATAGTACAACGATTTATAATCCTTTGGATATATACCCAGTAATGGGATTGCTGTGTCAAATGGAATTTCTATTTCTAGTTCCTTGAGGAATCGTCACACTGTCTTCCACAATGGTTGAACCAGTTTACATTCCCACCAACAGTGTAAGTGTTCCTATTTCTCCACATCCTCTCCAGCATCTGTTGTCTCTAGATTTTTTAATGATCGCCATAACTGGCGTGAGATGGTATCTCAATGTAGTTTTGATTTGCATTTCTCTAATGACCAGTGATGATGAGCATTTTTTCGTATGTTTGTTGGCCTCATGTATGTCTTCTTTTGTAAAGTGTCTGTTCATATCCTTCGCCCACTTTTGAATGGGCTTGTTTGTTTTTTTCTCATAAATCTGTTTTAGTTCTTTGTAGATTCTGGCTATTAGGCCTTTGTCAGATGGGTAGATTGCAAAAATTTTTTCCCATTATGTTGGTTGCTGATTCACTCTGATGACTGTTTCTTTTGCTGTGCAGAAACTGTGGAATTTGATTAGGTCCCATTTGTCTATTTTGGCTTTTGTTGCCAGTGCTTCTGGTGTTTTGGTCATGAAGTCGTTGCCTACACCTATGTCCTGAATGGTTTTGCCTAGATTTTCTTCTACGGTTTTTATGATGTTAGGTCTTATGTTTAAGTCTTTAATCCATCTGGAGTTAATTTTAGTGTAAGGTGTCAGGAAGGGGTCCAGTTTCTGCTTTCTGCACATGGCTAGCCAGTTTTCCCAACACCATTTATTGAACAGGGAATCCTTTCCCCATTGCTTGTTTTTGTCAGGTTTGTCAAAGATTGGTTGGTTGTAGATGTGTGGTGTTGCCTCCAAGGCCTCTGTTCTGTTCCATTTGTCTATATCTCTGTTTTGGTACCATTACCATGCTGTTTTGATTACTGTGCCTTGTAGCATAGTTTGGAGTCTGGTAGTGTGATGCCTCCTGCTTTTTTTTTTTTTTTTTTTTTGCTTAGAATTGACTTGGCTATGTGGGCTCTCTTTTGGTTCCATATGAAGTTTAAGGTGGTTTTTTCCAGTTATGTGAAGAAGGTCATTGGTAGCTTGATGGGGATACTGTTGAATCTGTAAATTACTTTGGGCAGTATGGCCATGTTCACGATATTGATTCTTCTTAACCATGAACATGGAATGTTGCTCCACCTGTTTGTGTCCTCTCTTATTTCATTGAGCAGTGGCTTGTAGTTCTCCTTGAAGAGGTCCTTTACATTCCTTGCTAGTTGTATTCCTAGGTGTTTTATTCTTTTTGTAGCAATTGTGAATGGCAGTTTGTTCTTGATGTGACTCTCTTTAAGTCTGTTATTGGTGTATAGGAATGCTTGTGATTTTTGCACATTGATTTGTATCCTGAGACTTTACCGAAGTTGCTTATCAGCTTTTGGAAATTTTGGGCTGAGACGATGGGGTCTTCTAGATATACAATCATGTCATCTGCAAAAAGAGACAATTTGACTTCCTCCTTTCCTATCAGAATACCCTTTATTTCTGTTTCTCACCTGATTGCTCTGGCTAGAACTTCCAATACTATATTGAATAGGAGTGGTGAGAGAGGGTATCCTTGTCTAGTGCAAAATTTCAAAGGGAATTCTTCCAGTTTTTGCCCATTCAGTATGATATTGGCTGTTGGTTTGTCGTAAATAGCTTTTATTATTTTGAGATATGTTCCCTCAATACCTAGTTTATTGACGGCTTTTAGCATAAAGGGCTGTTGAATTTTGTCAAAGGCCTTCTCTGCATCTATTGAGATAATCATGTGGTTTTTGTCTTTGGTTCTGTTTATGTGGTGGATTACATTTATAAACTTGTGTATGTTGAACCAGCCTTGCATCCCCAGGATGAATCCTACTTGATCATGGTGGATAAGCTTTTTGATGTGCTGTTGCAATTGGTTTGCCAGTATTTTATTGAAGATTTTTGCATCTATGTTCATCATGGATATGTCCTGAAGTTTTCTTTTCTTGCCGAGTCTCTGCCGGGTTTTGGTATCAAGATGATGTTGGTCTCATGAAATGATTTGGGAAGGATTCCCTCTTTTTGGATTATTTGGAATAGTTTCAGAAGGAATGGTACCAGCTCCTCTTTGTATGTCTGGTAGAATTCGGCTGTGAACCCGTTTGGATCTGGGCTTTTTTTGGGTGGTAGGTTCTTAATTGCTGGCTCAATTTCAGACCTTGTTATTGGTCTATTCAGGGTTTCAGCTTCTTCCTGGTTTAGGCTCGGGAGGATGGAAGTGTCCAGGAATTTATCCATTTCTTCTAGGTTTATTAGTTTATGCGCGTAGAGTTGTTTGTAATAATCCCTGATGATGGTATGCATTTCTGTGGAATTCGTGATGATATCCCCTTTACCGTTTTTTATTGCATCTATTTGATTCTTCTCTCTTTTCTTTTTTATTAACCTGGCTAGTGGTCTGTCTACTTCGTTGATCTTTTCAAAAAACCAGTTCCTGGATCTATTGATTTTTTGAAGGGTTTTTTGTGTCTCTATCTCCTTCAGTTCTGCTCTGATCTTAGTTATTTCTTGTTCTCTGCTAACTTTTGAATTTTTTTGATCTTGCTCCTCTAGCTCTTTCAATTTTAATGATAGGGTGTCAATTTTAGATCTTTCCTTTCTTCTCATGTGGGCATTTATTGCTATATATTTTCCTCTAGAGACTGCTTTAAATGTGTCCCAGAGATTCTGGTATGTTGTGTCTTCATTCTCGTTGGTTTCAAAGAATATCTTTATTTTTGACTTCATTTCATTGTTTATCCAGTCAACATTCAAGTGCCAATTGTTCAGTTTCCATGAAGCTGTGTGGTTCTAAATTAGTTTCTCAATTTTGAGTTCTAACTTGATTGCACTGTGGTCTGAGAGACTGTTATGATTTCTATTCTTTTGCATTTGCTGAGGAGTGATTTACTTCCAATTATGTGGTCAATTTTAGAGTAGGTGTGATGTGGTGCTGAGAAGAATGTATATTCTGTGGATTTGGGGTGGAGAGTTCTGTAAATGTCTATTAAGTTTGCATGGTCCAGGTCTGAGTTCAAGTTCTGGATATCCTTGTTAATTTTCTGTCTGGTTGATCTGTCTAATATTGACAATGGGGTGTTAAAGTCTCCCACTATTATTGTGTGGGAGTCTAAGTCTCTTTGTAAGTCATTAAGAACTTGCATT